TTGAAAAACATGTATCCTAATTATGAATTTCATTATCTATTACCTATTTCTTCCATTAGTAAAAGACTGGGCACCAAAGTTATAGTGAGAATCTTACATTTTGGAATTCTTAACATTTAATGTATGCTTTAAATGTAAAAAGTTGTCATTCACCAGGATTGTTAATCTTACATTAAAAATATGAATATTTAAATAATTAAAATCAACCAATGAACTCTAGCAATTAGAAAAGGGAACGTATACAACATTCCAGTTTTGTAATAATGGATTGTTAAAAATGTCATGGTGGACATTATAAAGCGTACTCATTACTTATTTGTATTATATAATCAAGGATTAAAATATAACGTCTGAATAATAGACACCTTAGCTTTATTGCCATCTAAATTCTGCTTTAAGAATCTAGGAAGGTTGTTTTTTTTCTACTTTCAAGTGTTCCTCTCCCCTCATTTAGACTTCAGTTTGTGCCTTGCTAAAAGAACAGTTGCTTTAAGTTTCTTACACATTAGGTGTTTTAGTATGCCACGCTCTAAAGACACCCAACTTCTTGAAGTGTTGTAAACTTGTTTTATGTGGGGTGACTTAGGGGCCTGGGTTAAACTGGCATCAATAGGGTAGGTGGGGTGGATGGAGCAAGAGCTGGAATTTTAAACATGGTGAGTTAGGAGAGACACTTTCCTTGTTAGTCAGATGATACTTTTAGAGTTCTGTCTTCCATTTTTAAAATATATTTTAATCTACCTCATGCCTTAGGATATTGTGGGGTTAAAGAACTAAGGGTTAAATCCACTGAGAAGTTACCTTGTACAGGCTTATTGAGATTAATGGGAGTTGTATAAAAGCAGTTAACATCTTTCCACTTTAGTGTAGTCTATACAGTAGAACCTCCCAGTAGTGAACTAAAATAATAAATACACCATATCAAACATGAGCTAAAATTGTTTATTCTCTTCTGTATAATTATCAAAAATTGTTTCGTTAAAGAGACATTTGGCATTTTAAAAAATCTATTAAAAATGGCTTCTTACCACAGCTTCTGTTAAATCAGTGAACAAAAGTCAGTGAACAAAATTTGCAATTGTATATCCAGGCATTAGCTACATCGAAAACTACACTGATCCACTTGAAAATGCTGCAGCTGCTGACATCACTAAAAAGTACATTTGTATTTACAAATCAGAAACACTAAAATATGTTTAGTGAGGGGGGGAAGATGTAAAATAACCATTAAATAAACGTCCCAATATGGGGAGAACAAATGATGAAGTCATTTAAGAAAAAACCTCACACACTGTAAACACAGTCTGAAATACTTCTTGCTGTTTATCAAAATGGAGCCTGTTGGTAACCATGAACAGATGTACAATCGTGGTGTCTTTTTGGTAGTTGTGTTCATAAGAAATTCTTTATGCGAGATTTGAGAGGTTAAAAGAAGTTTCCTGTCTGCACAGTCAAAATATTATTGAAGCAATTCAGGTTGTCAGTAAAAGCTTAAACAAATTTGCTGATAATCCTGTTAATGACCTAGGTCAAGTGTTAACTGTTGTGGGTTATAAAACAGTTAAATTAGGGTTGCTGGTACCCTGGGGCAAATAGCATCATTACAAAAATGGATTAGAAAAAAAACAATTAAATTGCAGGGTTATACCACTCATTTGGCCTCTTGATTCCACATGACTAGTTCCGAAAGAAGCTGTTTCACCTTCAATAAGAAATCAGAATCCTCCTAAAATAAAAGTCTACTCCAAACAGATAGAGTGGTGACCTATGAATTTCAATTCTGACTGAAATTTCTGAACATATTAAAAAAATCTATTTAAACCTCAGCATGGAGCAAAATCCATTCATTATTCAGATGTTAATTTATCCTGACATTTTCCTGTTACTGAATAGATGGCTCACACTTCACAACTCTTCTATTTAAAAAAAATTACCCATTTGAGACTGCTTAGAGGAATACACGTCTTTTCTCTCACCCTACCCCCTTGCACCAAATAAGGCTTCTGTGTGATAGATTTCTTTAGAAATAACTTTGAAGGAAATTACCTGTTTCATCACCTCTCTACTTAACAGAAGCTTCAGTGAGATGAATCACGTGCACCATTCCCGTTGCACAAAAAAATGAACACCACGTATTACATATGAACTGACGCTGCTCCTTTATATTAAATCTCAAAATGGCAGTCACTTTTTTATGTAATACCACAGCATGTAAAAAGTGCTGAGAAACAATTTTTGCAAGTATTCTAAAAAATATTAATATAAACCACCATCAACATGTCCCAACTGCATGGTATGACAATGCTTCTTTCCTCAAGCCTACATGAGATAAAAGAGGTTTCTCATGTTTACACAGGACATAAAGAAAGTTAGTTCTTCATAAATATGAAGTAAAACACACAAAGAGCTCCAGACGTATTACCAATATCTCTATCTTACAAGTTAATTGACTACACAGAATCTTTAGAGAAAAATAAATTCAAAGTTCTTTCTGATATCTTTGTGGTAAGTGGGAAAGTGGGTAGGTGTTAAATTAATTCAATTTTTACATTTTGGTTGTAACTATCCCAGTCATGTGTGTCAGAAAATATTTACTATGAAGTTAAAATGTTCAGAAATATTTAATATTAAAGTTGTATTTCTGTTTAGCTGTTACTGAAAAGAGAAAAACTACAAAGTAGTTTTTAAGAATTATTTTGATTTTAGGAAGTTTCAAGAAAACTTTAAGAAAATCAAAGTGTTGCTGTATTTCTTTGTAGATCTTGAATTCCCTAATAACTGCATAAGTATAATTGGTCAAAACTAGTAAGCTGAAAACTAGCAGGTCATGCACAGTAATAAAATTAAAATATGGCCAGAAAGATCATTAACTATATAGAAAATGTGTTTACGTAACTATACTCAAGTAGCATTTTAAAAAATCATGTGCAAATAGTTAAATTGTATAGATTCAGCATATTTTTGTTTCATTTACATTTAAATATGATTTTAAACTGCATGTACACACATACACATATAAAGATAAATAGCATACACACACACATGCACACCTATGTATATAAATACCTTTGAAAGATTAACTATGAAAAGCTGCTGTCTTAACATCTACTTTTTCTAGTAGCTTTTGCAGCTTTCCAGCTCTATTGAATGTGTAACAAGAGAACTGTGCGCATTATCAAGGAGTTCCTCTAAGAATTGCACCCTACTCCGTCCTAACTGGCCTCCATTGATACTCTTCCTTTATTGACCCAAACAAAGGTGTAACATGATTAATACCACAGCTTGCCTATCTGTTACACATGTTCTACTAATTATCCTTCTATTCCATGGGTTACTCATTATTTTTTAAAAAAATCATTAGAAGCCCTGAATACACAATCATAAAAGAAACTCTTTATTCTTTTTAGAATAGACAGAACAATTTCTTTGTGTTGCAGCTGATCTTAAAACATTTTAGCCTTCATCTTTTAATATATTTTCCCTTGACTATGTTTGGTGAATCCACAAAATTTCTCTATCATTGCCTTCCCCCCAACCTTATTTGCACAGTTCTCCAGAGATTCTTGCTTACTAAAAACATAATGAATGGAAATAGCTTGGAATCCAACATTAATCAAACAAGGGCAGGGCTTGGCACAATTGTTTAATACCAGAAGTTCTATTGTCTTTTGAATTTGGGAGGAAAGTGTTCTTGAACAACCTGACACCAGAGGTAGTCAGGGCAATCCTAAACTGAATTACAGCTTTCTACACCCATTGATTTCAGTGGATATAGATTACAACTCTGTTTAGGATTGCACAGTGAATGGTCTCTTCGGCCATAGTGTTACAGGGTACACTTTTTAAAGAAACATCTTAAAACAATTATTTTCAATAAAAGTCCACATCTTTGTATTTGTAGCAATGTAAGCAATATCTCGAAAGCACTAATATGCTAGAAATAAAATCAATTTAAATAGGTATGAAGGGGGGGAAGTGTAATATACCTTAGCTTTTTACAGGTGATCTTTATTAGAAGTAGCAGTTTTTAAATTAAATCTAAGGTCTATGATTAAAGTCCAAAATTAATAATACGTGCAATGTATCTATGAGTTCTCATAACCAAATTTGTAAGGGTGTGGGTCAGCATATATTTATTTTAGTTTTAAATTCTTCTGAAATATTATTCAATGCAATTCCAGATCACAATAATATATGCAGAATCTGTTCATACAACCGAAATTAATAAAGCAGTTAGTGAAACAAGGCACCAATACGAGGTAGGACAGTTTTAGAAGCATTGTCTTGTTTCTCTCCATTTATCCAGTATTTGTTTTTCTTCATACAAATCTGTCCAGCCACGAAACAGTTAAAAATTTATCCGAATTTCGCTCCCCCCCCCCCATGCAAAGGCACCGGGCATCCCTAAAGTGGCTCTTCTTGGCATCACTTTTATGCTAATAGTCCAACCTACACACCCTGCTCATCATCGCCCCCGGACCCGAGTCCTAGCCTCACCCGTTTCTGAAAGGCACCTTATGCAGCCCCCCTGACAGCGGCTATCAAACGCCAGAGTTGAGCCCTTTCTTTTTCCCCACTTACCTGCAGCCTCGCCTTGGCTGCAGTCACACATATCAGGGCGGGTCACGGACTGTCACTGCCAGGATGCCATCTCCCCCCGCCGCGGCAGACACCTCTTCAAAGGCGCCCACCTCCGCTTTTAACTTCGCTTCGCCAAAGAATAACTAACAGTCAGTCAAGTAACACCCGGGAAGCGCTGCCCCTTTTTGCCAGCCTCGATAAGAGCGGAGAACCGATTCCGATCGCCCAGCGCGCTTGTGTCCGACCGCCTTCCCCTCGCCAGATAAAAGGGAACGGTGCGAACCCCTCCAAAATTAGACTGAACCAACTGCGCGGTCCTCGCCGGACCACCTTAAAAAAGAAATCCTGTGGACCAGGTTACCCAACGGGGATGCAGGGAACTTCCAGCGCTCCCGGCTTTTGCTCAAAGTCTCGCTTACCTTCGTTGGTGGGATGGAGAATCAGATCCCCGAAGCAGCCGAGCGCAGCCCCGAGCAGGAGGAGGAGGCGGCGGGAGATGTGACAATCCATGTTGCTGGTGCAGAGGGCAGCGCGAGCTGCATATCTTCCCGGAGCATGCCACTGATGTGAGCGCTCTGATTGCAGGAGAAGTTACCATGCTCCGCTTGCAGGCGGATGTCAAGTTTGACACTGGAGATAAGGAGGAGTCTGCCGAGCTGCCTCGGCTGCCGGCAGGTCGGCCGGCAGCGTGCTGGGTCCTAGCGCTCGCCCGCTGGCGCGTTCATACAAAGCACGAGGAGCGCCGAACGGAGGGAAGGGGAGGTGGGGACGGGAGAGGAGGGGCAATTTAAACAACAACAACAACAGAAAGTGGGGAGAAGGGAGGTGGGGGCCAAGAGATAAGAGCACCGAGGGCCAGGCGGGGCTATTGGATCGAATGCATCTTTTTTTTTCTCTCTCTCTTTTTTTTTAAATCAGCCTTATCCAGAAAGTGACCCAGGGGCGGAGATGGTCTCATCAGCTCTGTATCTCGGCTCCCGGTAAGAAGGAGAGGAAAGGCGGTCTCATCATCCGCAAGCCAAGACGATCGATACTGCGCGCGTTATTTATTTACAAGCACTCCCGAACCACCAGGGACGGAAGCTAGCCACGCACCCGCGGGAATCCGTTTATTTTTAGCGGCCCGGCGGGGCCATCAGGCAGTCTACTCGCCCTCTCCTCCCCATTTCTCCTTCCCCTCGTGGTTGGTCGGGGGGCTAGGCGGTAGCTTTGCAAAGTGCAGCTCAGATACACCAGCTCATTCCTAACGGGCATCTCTCGTCCTCAGATGCTCCATCGGTTCCCATCATCTCCGGATCCCGGGCTGGAATTTAAATCTGAGCGAAGGGATGGGCGGCCGTGTGTCTGTCCCCGCCGGAACATATCCATATCCTTGGCGTTTAAAGATTACTTCTGAGCATATGCTTTGATTAGTCGCTGTTCACACACTTCGTGGCCAACGCGGGGGGACTTGCTTCCCTTCCCTCCCGATCTGGGTTACACACTGTTTTTGGGAAACCGGTTGTCTGAATAGTTTGGTGCCGAAGGGCCAAAGTTTTGAACCCCAGCACAAACCTTCCTGCATACAAAACTCACAATTTCTGCTGATTGATTTACCAATTAAACCCAAATGTGTTGCAGTTTGGATGGAGGAAGGCTGCAAAGGGCCTGCCCACAGGCAGCCTATTGACTGGGTTCTCAGCACAGCACTGACTGTTGACAGGGAGACTGAAGCAATGTGGCTGAATTCAGCTGTGAGGCCAGCTGTGAACCCCTTCTGTACTTACTTTGGTGCTTGGGGGGGGGTCAACAGTGGGAGGGCTTCTAATGTCCTGGCCCCACTGATGGACCTACTGATGGCACCTGGTATTTCTGGCCACTGTGTGACGCACAGTGTTGGACTGGATGGGCCTTTGGCCTGATCCAACATTGGCGTCTCTTATGTTCTTATAATACAAAAAGAACTTAGTTCAGAGTGGGCATATCTTCACCAGGATTGTGCTCAGCCACATGTTATGCATGCCCAGATCTATTCTTTAATGCAACTGGACATTTTTCTTCCATAAGACTTGATTGTGGTAAAATCCCATGCAATCAGTGATATGCTGGAACATGCAGTGACTATACCATTGGAAGCACAACCCAAATTAGGTGACATGCAGTGTCCTTTCTTAGACACAACTATTACAGTTACAGGATGCTTTTCTGTTCTGTTTTTCAGACGGTCTCTCTAGCTCACTGGAAAACTGAACTACCATCAGTGTGGCACCTATTGAGAGCCAGCAAATCACACAAGAAGGCCATTCACTACACAGCACCCAGTCTTTCCTTGCTGTGCTGTGAACTTAGGCTTTGTGGTGGTGCTGCACTTAAAAATAATGATGATACAACAGCCTCCCACCAAGTTCCTGCCAATAAATCATAAAATGACTGCATCTCCACCCTGCCCCATACACACATGCTGTGTTGGCAGTTCCCGAGGGAGCCTTGCTAGAAAAGATGACATAATTCCCAGAAAACCTGGGCCTCTTCCTTAAACACTGCAAGCCATTCCCAGTTTGATACTACCCAGGCACTGTTCTATTCCCAGGTCAAATGCAATTGTGAGCCTGTTATCAGAGCTCAGGTCACTCTGTGGCGGAGATATTATAGAATGTGTCAATCTCACTCCCTTTGCCACAGAGAGCAATTGCAGCCCTTTATGCTCCAGGAACTTGGCAATTTGGAAGCTTAGGATAATAATTCACACCCCAGGAAATCCTTATGGGCCCTTGGAGATGCCCTATGCAAACTAGAGCCTATTACCTCCTCATCTTTCCTATGTACTCTCTGCTGTTATTCTGTCGGCGCTAAGCATTTATTTTGTAGAGCTGATCACCCTCTCATAGTTTCCACTCAGAAAGCATGTTTTTAATAGAATTCATTAAAGGCCTGTGTCTTAAATCCTCTGCTCCATTTATCTAGTCATATAGGCCTCAAATGAAGTCATTCCGAGGGCTGCTACAGGAAAGATAAATGCGGTGCCTGCTGGGATTCATTAGCACTCCTCTATGCGTCTGCCAGTTTGGGGGAAGGGGGGAGTGAGGGATCCAACTTTGGCGAATGTCACAATCCCTCACTCACAGAACCAACTGAGTAGACAATCCCAAGCAGCTCCAGTTGCTCTAGTGTAATAGAGTCACTAAGGCTCGGAGCTGGGAAGTACCTGTTTAAAATCTCCTCTCTTCAATGAACTCACTTGGGCAAGTCATCCGCTCACCTTCAGCTCCTTTCTATGCTTTTGTTTTATCAGAGAATAAACTGGCTTTTCAAGGCTGCCATACATTTTACTGAAATAATATCACTTGGAACACTCAAAAAGTGGTTCATAAACTCCAAATGTAAGTAAGCAACAACTGTATAATAATGATAGGGGTGGGTTACACTCTTCTGTGTTTCGTTGCTTTTGTTCTATGGGTTTTGTTACAAAGCTCCGCTTCAAGGTCTTATGCCAGAAATAAAATAAAAACTCCTTGGCTCACAAATTGGCAAATCTGTATTCTGTTGTTGGTTACAAGTGTGAGGTTGCTATTGCAGCCAATCTCTGTGCTGTGGGTTGGATGTTAAGATCCACAAGTAAAGTTTGTCTAAGCTGAGATGTATGGATTCCTGCTGTCAGCTGAGTTCTTAGATAAACTGACTGGAGGGACCTTCTAGAATAGGGGTGACAGACATACAGCCCATGGGCCGGAACCAGCCCATCCAGGGCTCTTATCTGACCTGCGAACAACTGGTGCAACTGGGAGGGAACAGGAGTATTCTTGGGGAAGGGGGGGCAGAGCCATTCAGAGCAGCGGAACAACCTCATCTGGTTCAGCGGCATCCTCACTGGCAAGTTGGGGGTTACCACAGTCACATTCATGCTGGCTCAGGGTTCCAAGGTGAGGTCGCATGTCTCTGTGCTTGGCCTGCAGCTCTGATGATGCTGTCCCAGATGGCTGCAGGGATTGGCATTTGCACATGGGGGGGGGTGTAGACGATCCTCTGCCAGGGCTTGCTAGCATCCAGCACCACTGCTGTATTCATGCCTCCCATGTGGCAACTGTGCTTCAGGCCATGGGGGGCATTGTTTCTTCTGCACATTGGGGTCCTAGTCCTGCTGCCAAGCATGTGACTCAGGAGCCAAACCTCCCTCCCCCATGGAATACCTGGTGGCCTTTAGCCATTGGGGGGGGGTACTGGCAATCTCCAGTTATACTGGTAGCTGGGTGGCCTGGAGCCTCTACCAAGACATGTGGCCTTGTGTGTGTGGTGCCTACCCCCCATTGGGCAAACTAGAGGCCTTTGGCCTGGAGTGGGTGCTGCCGCGTAGGGCTGGCAGGCTTGCCGGCAATCTCTGGCTTGAACCACCATGGGTAACCTGTTGTTCTTGGCCGAAGGTGGCTGCTACCACACGGACATCTTCAGCTTATCAGAATTTGCTCGAGCTGTGCCCTGTTGTGCATGCAGCCTTGCACCTGGGCCACTGCCCCCCAAGCTTCTGCATGTGGGGGGGTTAGTTCAACTTGTCTTCCTGGTCCCCTTCTCTGGGGGCTCGGGAATGGGGGGGGCAGCTTGCAATGCCCAGCTGCTTTGCATTTCTCCCCTGGAGCCCGGGCTCACAGCATTAGCAGCAAGAGTGGGCTGCGGAAGGGGGTCCCATCTGAGCAGTGTGGGGGCATCTGTCCAGTGCTGTACCACTAGCTCTCAAGTCCACTCATGCAGGTTTTCCTCTGTGCCCCCCTTTCTAGTGCATAGGGCCTTGCAGAGAGGATGCACCAACTCAGAGCCTACCAGCTGCTGTCCTTTATAAAGTTTATATCGCTGGTACCTGGCATTATGTTTTATTGCACACATGGCCCAGCCTGGCAAAGTGACATTTATATCAGATCGGGCCCTCATAACAAATGAACTCGACACCTCTGCTAGTCTAGAATTACAAAATGACATTCAATGTACATTGGAAAGATGCAGCCTGGTTTGAGGGGGGGGGGGAATCTTAACTTCTATATACTTATATTGTTGTTGCCTAAATCAAAGTACATTCAACAAAGCACAGTGTCCCTGAAGTTAACTTCACTCTCTTCATCATCTCAGTCCTACAGGAACACGTGAAGCTTCCCTATACTGAGTATGATAGTCTTGCCAGGTTGCCTTCCTTGGCAGACAACCTCCCACCCTAGCTGCCCTGGCCTCCCTCCCTACTCAGTGGAACAGCAGAAGCAAAACAGAAGAGTGGCCATTATTTATTTTATTTATCAAATGTATATCCCGCTCCCTCCCCTCTGAAGCATATCAGCTGCCTGGTGGATCGCAGTCACCCAAAGAGCAGCCTTGCAACCAGAACCTAGGGAGGTCCCACAAGGCACGCACCTCTTCAGGGAGCTGGTTCTACAGGACGGGGCCCACTACTGAGAAGGACCTCACCATTGCTGACACAAGGTAGATAGTTTGTGGACCAGGGACCTTCAATAAATTGCAATACATGGGAAGGATCATGCCAGAAGAGGTAGTCCC